TTTCATTCAAAGAAAAGCTTTATAAAATTTTAGCTGACGAAGAGAGGAATATATCTTATATAATTATTAAACAATGTACATTTTTGTGTTTTATTAATTAAACAATATTGCAATATCTTTTTCTGCTTCATAAATAATTTAAAAAAGAAAGAGAAAAAGAGAGAGAAAGAGCTAAGATAAACTTTTTCTTTTTAGTTTGTAGGAGTGATCCAGGGTTAAAAATTAAGGGATAGATAAATCGAAGAAGTTGTGGTGCTAATCAGAGACGCCATCACATTCCTCCAAAGTGTTGTACAATATATATTATAGTTATCGTTATATTAAGAAGAAATATCGATCGCTTGTATATTATTGTATACGAAACAACAAAGATAAAGAAAAAAGAGAAAGCAGAAAAATGGATTGCGTGCGCATGAAAGAAGGAAAAAAAGAGAATAGTAATCTTTGTGCTTTTGGTCGGATGATGATTTGTTGTAATATATAAAACATTTATATTATATAATTATTATTATTATCATCATCGTGTATAATTATAACGATATAGATACAGACACATACCGTGTGCACTGCACTGTTTCTGTACATACATATATTATACATATATTACGAAGTAGTTTTATTTTCGAATCACCCGATATATATGTAAAGCGCAATGAGAAAATATGAGACGATTTGGAAGAATTATATACAATTATTATATCAATTTCATTAAGCGACTGATTTTTAAAAAAAAATTTTCCCTTTTCCATCTCTTTTCAATACCTAATTTTTTTGTTGAATTACAAGATTACTTTTTAATTATCTAATGTTTAAAAAAATTATAAAATATATGTAAAAAATATTATTTATACAGTTTTTATATTTACAAAGATACATAATGATAATAGTAATGCAAAACGCAGTCATTTTTTTCAGAAATTTATTATATTAATGAACATCCACAAATAATAATAATAAGATAATATATTTACAAATATATGTTTACAATGACAGCAAATCGACTTATACAATGAAATTTTAATTTGAAAACTTAGAATCTTTTTAAATCATTTTATAGTTATTCAATGAATAAAAGAAATTAACCTATCAATTTTTTGTTTGATAAAATAAAAAATTGTAAATGTAAGAAAGGGAAATGATTCTATATTTGTGTGTATACATATACACATGGAAGAGATAAAATGTGTATAAATTATAAATGCAGTTCTTTGGCCTCTTATATCCAAAATTTAAATTTACATTATATATATGTTACATTATTGTTTATATAGAGTTATAAAATATTGATGAGAAATAATTTTTAATTTTTTATATTATAATATAGAATAAAGAATTATTAATTTATATTGCCATCGTTAAAACAAATTTTTACATATCAATTTTATTTCAATTATTATTTTGTAATATTTTGATATGGTCAGTGTTAAATGATATTTCATGGAAAGATATTTATTACATCAATTCTCCATTTTACTAAGGAACATACATTTAACATAATACATTTCATGTGTTCCATTTTACTAAGAACTGAAAAATTACCTAATCTTGGGAGAGTTATTTATCTTTCATTTTTTGAAATTTCTTTTTTATTATTTTCTTCTTTGAAAAATTGTATATGATTAGAAAGAATAAAGATTGCTTATTATTATTTTACTCTAGATATATTTTTAATAGAGCAAATTAGCATTGTAAATTATATATATAAAAAACATTTATATAAACTAATTTACATATTAATTAAACTAAACATCTTTATATGCTTAAATTGAATTTTAAAGTAGTGTCATAAAGACAATAATTACAAAAAACTTTGTAATAATTCAATTTTATTATCTTTCATAAGATGACTTTTTTATTTAAATTTAATTATGAGAAATCCACATTAACCATTAATAAAAAATGTTTTAAAAGAAATATCTGTATATTTCATCTGTATATTTAACATAGAAGAAGATTAACGTTTAAATAAATATAATGTGGAACATGAAAAAGCTTACAATGTAAAACATCGTAATATAATAAATTATTACGATCTATGAACAGCGAGAGAGAAAGAATTACATAATTCTTATAAATTATAATATTTTATGATTAACTATTAAACTAATAAATTTAACGGACACAGCCAACACAATCTTCATTCTTCCCTAAATATATCATAATTTCTCTTAATAATTGTATTTGAAAATTCGATTTCATCAACAACAAATTGTGTATTTGCGCGACAGAAAGATGTCCTGAAGTAACATCCTGAAAGCTGGATGTAATAATCTTGCTGGATCCTTACGTTTACGTTGCTGTCAGGTCAACTCTGTTGCATGCAACAAATGAATAAGAATTTATTATAAATAAAAAATCGTCGAATTTTCACGGAAATTCGACCGAAATTGCGGATTAATGTAAAAAATATTAATTTCAATTTCGGCAAATAGTTTTTTATAAAATAAAAATAAAATTATTAATAAGATGCAGCTATTCTTTTATTTTATTAATATACTTTTATAATTATACTTTTCTTATTTTATAATCTTATACATACATAAAGAATATACATAAGTTATTTATTATTATAATATTGATATTAGGGCTCCCGCTGATTCATTGCAGTCATCTTGAATTATAACATTGAAGTAAGAAACCTATGATGAAAATTCTTGCAAAATAAATTAAAATAGAAATATTTTTCGATAAAATAATCCACTTCATAGAACAGATTTATAAAATATATTGAAAACCCTTTTTTCATTCCGTTAATTAATAAATATATCTAGAATTAAATTGCGACTTTTTTCTTGATTAGACATAATTAATTTTCTAAATATATAATTATTTATTGATTACCGGAACAAAAGGAGAGTTTTCGGTATATTTTATACAAATTTGTTTTATCAAATGCAAATGTTATTTTATCAAAAAATATTTTATTTTAATACATTTTAGATCAAAAATTTTTATCATGTGTTTTTTGCATCTCACGATAATTTAAAATGACTGCAGCTGAAGCTTTAATACTTGTAAACATGCTTCAATTTAATGAAAAAAATAATATAGTATAAAACATAAAAGCAACAAATAAATAAGAAGGTGAAACACAACTATATATAATAAAGGTTTGATTTAACAATAATTAATAATAATTATTAGCATTATTAAAACCAAATGCATGCAAATCTGCGTTTAAAATCTATAATATACACAAATAACTTTTTTATTTAATATTTAATAATATATAAAATATATACATGTCTAAATGATTATTTTATAATTATAAATTTCTAAAATTAATATATTTAAACAAAAAGAATTATTGCATACTGTGGAAAAAAACCAGGGCTTTTTCATAGAAAACCAAAGGAGACTTGAAGAGATCGTTGATCTTTATTATTATATAGTTCATAATAAGTATTCATTATATATATCCACATATGTTACAGTTTTATATACAAGGAATATACTATAAATTATGGCAATTTTTCCTAACAGAGCTCAGAGATCAGAAAAAGAGAGGAAGAAAAAATGTTAAATGATAAAGAAAGAATACAGAAAGTAAAGGGGAAAATGACAAAAACATTATTAGAACAAATCATAAGTTTTAATTTTAATTAAATATTTCAAGAAGATTTTAACAGAAGCTTCAACTAAAAAATAAAAATTATGTTAAAAAATTAAGCTAAATAAAACAATTTATTCATCTTTAATTTCTAATAAATTTTATAAGTAAAGTTTATATACAGAATGCCAACCAGTATATTTTTGCGCCATATTACGACTGAAACATTCGTGTTTACTTTTCTTTAACAATAATTTATTTATATAATAATTTCTATTATATATTTATGTTTTTCAATCCTTAAATATATATATATAT